AACATAACTTATTTCATCAGAAGATTAGTTAATCGCACGGAACACTTGAAAGTCGAAATGGGGTACAAAATATGTACCCCAGGGGTACGAAATTTTCTGGGGTACAAAAAGGCCAAATGGGGTATTGTATCCCAAAATGGGGTACGGTTGGCAGCCCTGGGTGGGGCAATAAGTGATTGAAGAAAATTTGGACGAAATAGAGATGATGTTGGACTAGTACCATTCGAAGCTGCAGCTGCAGTAAAATAAGCAAATAGATCAAGTGATGGATGAAATTGTTGGGAAAATGCATGATAAAGAAAATCAGCATCAAGTACAGATAATATTGATGTTGATAGTGTAATCAGATCAGACTATAAATAACCACAAACATAATCTTAGCTGAAAATCAAATTTTATGATATAATGGCAATTTTGCCTGTGTTAAGTGTTAATCTTTATTAAAATTTTGCTAAGAATTCTAATTTTTCAGCAGATTTTACCACAGTAATAATATAAAAAAATGTATAAGCTACAAAATTCGGAATTTTTCTGGGTAAGAATTTTGCAAATGCTGATAGCCGAAAGTCGAACACACTACCTTGGAGGTATGTGGCTAATAACTTAGTCACTCATTCACAGTGACTTATCAGCAATTTGAATATTTTATAAGACTGCAAATTCTACATTCTTTTTGTATATTAACACATTCGAGGCGATGAGACCCACCGATGGGTCTCGCGAGGGTACACCACGAACTGATCAATCGCTTTTTAAATTTTAGTCATACCAATTTGTACAGCTTGCTGAGATATTAACTGATATAATAATCATTCGGACCAACAATGCGACTGGGTGTGGGTGTGAGAGGTTAAAAAGAAGATCCACACCCACCACCCACACCTCTGATTGTATGAAATAAACGTCAACACACGATTATCTTCCAAACAATGTGTCCAAAAATCGATCTATATCATTTTCGACTTTTCGTCCCAACTGGGAGCGAATCCCGGTGCGGTTTTTCATCGGAAAACCAGTGTTTTCTGAGTACACTAGGATTCTTAGAGGGAGAGAAGTATCTAAAATAGTTTAAAAGGTGTCCATTCGATAGAGCTCATCGAGTTCTATCGATCTATATCATTTTCGACTTTTGGTCCCAGCTGGGAACGAATCCCGCTCGGCTTTCCCTAAGAAAACCAGTTTTTCTGAATATATTGGGGTTTTATGCGAGGACGGAAGCACATAAAGTACTTTCAAAGATATCCATCGGATAGACCTTGTCGAGTTCTATCGATTTATGTCATTTTCGGCGTTTGGTCCCAGCTGGAAGCGAATCCTGCTCGGCTTTACCTGAAAAAACCGGGTTTTCTAGATATATTGGGATTTTATGGGAGGACGGAAGCACATAGAATACCTCAAAAGGTATCCATTGGATAGAGCTCGTTGAGTTCTATCGAACTATGTCATTTTCAGCTTTTGGTCCCAGCTGGGGGCGAATCCCGGTGCAGTATTAGCGGTAAAAACCAGGTTTTCTGCAAAGGTTTGGATTTTGAGGATGGACGAAAGCACAGAAAATACTTGAAAAGGCATCCATTGGATAGAGCTTGTCGAGTTCTATCGATCTATGCCATTTACAGCTTTTGGTCCCAACTGAGGGCGAATCCCGGTGCACTTTACGAAAAAAATCTGATTTTTTGCTTATTTTTTTTACAGTATTTTAAGTTTCTCTCCCGCTTGGAATGGTGTTGGAGAAAAAGTAAATAGTGTATTCGACACAGCTCGTTGAGTTCTATCTTGGTCCGCAGAGTTTGATTTTTGGTCCCAACTGTGAGCGAATCCAGTTGCAGAATACTCGAATCCAGGCCCAAGATATCCTACGTCCATAATAGAGATATTCAATTTTTTTTCGGGTGCGTGACTTTTGGGCCACCCCGTATATATATATAATGTATAATATTTAACTAGATTCTAGTGACATCTGTTATTATGTGATTAATGACTGGCAGGTCATATTTAACCAACAATTGGATTAGGAACGAAACAAAAAAATTCATAAAGCATATATTATCTGCATAGATTAATTCATCTTTAATAAAATTACTGCTTTTGTATTTTAGGTCTCTATATACATAGAAAGAATAGAAAGAAAAAAAAGAATGTGGTGTATAGCTGCAAATCGATCAGTACTTACAGCACTTGATCAAAATACGACAATTGCCGAACATGATACAAGTAATTGTACAGTAACGACAAATGATATTGATAGTATGGATATAATACAATTTGCTGATGGTTGGTATTCTTATCCTGATCTTAATACATTTGACAGTGATTTACTTCTTACTACACTTACACTTCGAGTAAGTACTTATGGAAATAATATACATTTGTATGTAACAATCTTCTTCTATAGAATATCAAACCATCAAAAGCTATATCTCCATGGAATATGAAACAAAAAAATTCTACTGGACTTCCTCTTACTGAAATTGGTATGTATTTAATGAGTGATTATTTTGTTTTTTGGTATTGTTAATATATTTTTTGTGTATATAGGAACTCGCCAATTGGAAGCATTATTTAATTTATCACAATTACTTTTTGGCTTAGCTCGAGGTGAACAATCAAATTATACATTTCGTGATTTACAATTAGGTAAATCAGCAAGACAATTTCGTGAAGCAGGATTCAATAAATTTCGTAAGTAT